GATCTTGTGATGATTCTTGTGATGAGTTAGCCAGAAATTTGGTTTGAGGTTTGTCAGTCTCAAAAAATGTTAAGCCGTACCTACTTAGAATTAGGAAACTGAGCTATAGTTTTATGTGTTCATTTTACATTTTGTTCGGTTTCAGGAAACATTCAACTTGTAGCAAAACTTTTTCGTTGCGAATAATTTAGTAAGCTTCGGGCAAACGCCATATTCTTCCTCGTCAGACTGGAAAAAAGGATTCCATTTTTCACCTTTATTTTATCTCATGAACTTCCAAAAGAAAAAGAATAAATATGGCTTTGAAATCAGTTGAATGCAAACTCTTCGCGTTATTTCATCAGCTGATTATGTAGAGTGACATTCAGTATTTGATGACGGCTTGTGGACGAGCAAGCACACACTACTTCTGTGTTTATGACGTCTACGGACAATCATTCAAAATCCGAGTGTTTCACTTGGTTGTTTTTAATGATTGGCAGATCTAATTCATACGGGGAGCGTATCAAACTGTGTGGAACAGTCAAGTTCAGTCTTCTAGGGTCCTGCCTGCTCTTACAGAATTTGTCATTTGGGTTGTTGGATTCTGAGCAAGACGACTGACAGAGATTTCTCGTTCGTTTTTTACCAAGTTGATGGGGGCTGACAAACTCTACGCAGACGCGTTTTTCACTAGTATGCACTACTGAAGATACATGCTAGTAATGTTTGGTCAAATGTAAACGATCCATCCGCACATGTGATTGGAGGTTAGTGTGGAAATTATTTAACGGCCTTGAAATGCATCTCATTATTTTTTAAGTTAAAAGGGCTACAAGCGGAGTTCAGTAGAACGATTCGTAATGCTCATTTTTCAAACATTCCGTCCAGATGTTATTTTCACTTTTGCGTTCAATGGTGTGTGACCAACGCCTAATTTGCGTTGGTCAGCAAATAACTCCATACCGAAAGGCGTTCTTCCGTTTGCTGATACCCTCAGCCAGAATATATCTCATAAAGAAACAGTGGCGCTTCCTTCATTAGTGAAGTGAAATATTTCCCAGCGCACTCGAATTTTTGTTTGAAACTGAAGACAGACCAGAAACCTTCTGGCCACAGCCCATTAGCTCGAGAGTATACACTAATTGATGTCCTTTCAACGATAACATCCCCTCCACCAAAATGGCTCTCTAGGTATCCTCCTCAGTTATTTACTTGTAAGAGAACATATCGTTTCGATGCATTAATTCATATAACGTTCTTCCATTTTTCCCATTACACAGCGTTCATTCACCTATTGGACAATTACAATGCAAATGCAGGGCACACTGAATATACTACTTACGAACAAAT